ATATTTTAAGGGAATCTTTTTATACCAATTCCCAGATGGCAAAAGACAAGCAGTGGTAAATAAAATGTCAGCTGTAGGGGTTCCTCAGACTGGAATATACTTTAAAACACTGCAAAGCAACTAACTACTGTTCCCCACTCCCAGCAATTGGTTGTGTATTTCAGATGCGTCTGGGCCAGATTTGAGTTCCTAAAAGTCCTTTTGCCTACATTTAAGTGAAATTTGGGTTGTGCTTGTGGTTACCCTAGTGTCCTGAAGTAGGTTCATGTCTCACTGTTTGGCTGTGTAAATATGAGTGCGTGGGACCCAGATTTAGGATGTTTTCAGTTACTGCGAACACTGTTGCTAAATGGATGTCTGCTTACCTTTGAAGAGGGCATAGATATGACTATACACACACCAACCAGGGTGGGAGTTTATGGGTCTTGTTTATAGACACAGTGCTGGAGTGCTTCTCTTATCTGTCTTCATGTAAACTGATTATTGGATCATCCATCTCAGAGCAATATTTGGTCTGGTTTTAGAGAACAGGAGTCCCTCTGGTAGTGTTTTGGATGACTTCACCGTTTCATGGGTCCATAGGGGCTCTTACAAGAATCAGAAATGTTGAGCTGGAACTTCACTGACATGTTAGCAAAATTAGACAACTGTTAGACTCTCGTATCAGTTGTTTCACTCACTTTTCTTTTGCTTGTTTTAACAAACCCCAGGAGTAGGGGATCTAACTAATAAGAAAATTTTGAAGTCACTGTGGTAGAAATATCTTGCATCCCTACCATGAATCCTGGGAAATTCAAAACAATTTTCATAAGGCATCTTTCCATCAAGAAAGTAGGGTGGGTTTTTTTTCTTTTCTTTTCTGTAAGAAAGTACATAATTCATTTAGATAAAGTGATTTACTGAGTTTGCTACAATGTATAGTTTTTGCTTACCAAAGATACTCTTTGGAGAGCTGAGAGTCTTCACCCAAACAAGGGTCCAGAGAACACTCTCCCTGTTGTTTTCTGGTGATAATGTGGACAGGGACATGCTTCCTAAATGGGAGATAGGAAGGTTGTCTTTCCACTCAGAGGCTTTATGCACCTGAGAGTTGGCCTTGACTTTCGTTACAACTGTGTTCAGATTCCCCAGAAGAGTACTCAAAAAAGATTTACTTTGAATTTCTTTGTAAAATAGGAGAACTACATTAATTGCATCTAGTAGTTTATTGAAGTGCACAGATAGCCTCAGAAGACCTAATATAAATAGATGTCGTGGAACAGATTAGACCAATTAGCTTTTCTTTGTTTGGGGGAGGGGTCAGCAGTGCATGAGGAACAGTGTCTACATCTGGGATGTGACAGATCACATTTACTTGTATTTTCTCACGACATTAGGAAGACTGAACATTCAGCACTGTTTGAGACAAACGTGATTAAAGCTGGAATTCTTGGACAGGACTTTATGGACCACTATATGGTCAAAGTACGGTTTCAAGAAGTCACTGGAACCCCAGAAACTGCATGTGAACATTTTTTAGTTCTGAGTTGTCATCTATTGTTTTCTTTCCCTGAGGAGATGATATCTTAAGACTAGAGGTGTAATTTCTAGTTTAATTACAGGGAGTAGCTTTGTTTCTGATTCTGTCATTAGAATTTTCCTACTCTTCTGTAATGGATTCTTTAACGTGGGTTAATGGTTACTTAACCTGGGGTTTATGGGCCCTGCAATGGCTGTGTTTCCCTGACGTGGTCAGAAAGTTTTATGTGCATATGGGTTTTTTTGGTGTGTTTGGGGTGTGGCGTTCATAACTTGCCTTAAGTTCTCAAGTGCTCTATGACTCCCAAAGGGTAAGAAAGAAGCCATCAGCTACGTGGGTTCAGTTTTGTCCATGGACTATGTGATGACCCTTATTTTTATGTGTAAATTTGACATAGGGTTGAGAGTCAACTCTTTAAATTATTGTTTGGATTTCCAAGTTGGAAATTGCTGAATACTATTTGTATCACTTCTCCATGGGCTATTTCTTTGCTACAGTCTGTCTCACCTCTGGTCTTCAGACCATGATCACTGGACAGTTTACCCAGGGGAAAAAACTTTAGCAGAACGCTCTTACCTTTGTAACTATAGTCTATCCTGATCTGTAATTGGTTCTAAAGAGGATTTTCTTTATTTTTCCTTCTTTTATTTTCCCCCCTTCTTCTTTTTTTCAGCCTGAGAGAAATTAAGCACCTTAGCCAGGAATTCTTTAAGAGCTATTACGGGTATGTTCTCCCCACATTTCCGGGAGCTTTTCTACCTTCGTTCTTTTGTTGGTTGTTTTTGGTTGTCCTCTAGTTTCCCTTCAGCAAGATTTATTCACGTGGAGGAAGGTTGCTTAGGGATTAGGTGAGCAGGTGCTTGGAGGACTCTCTGTTCCTGCCAAATGATCTTTTTAAAAAAATATTGAGTATTTTTCTTTTAATTTCCCAATCGTCGTGTCAATTCTTCTTTGCCAAATGGTTTTTGGGGCTTTGCCTGGGCCCCATGTGCCAGAGTCGGGGATTCATCTTGGCCAGACACTGCCACATATTGAAGAGGGAACCGATTCCAGGAAAGCTCAGAGAGCCATGGCTCCTAGAAATCTTTCCTTGATGGTATGAGCCAGGCCTCAACACTTTTGACCATCTGGAAAGTTTTGGACTTGAGCACCAATATGTGTCTCATACATATTTTTCTTTTCATTTCCTAAGGTTTTTTTAAAAAAATTCTTGTTCATTTGAGATATATATTTATTACTATTTTATCTGTGAGCTCCAAGAAGAATCATATGCCTGAGGGCTGCAAAGAAAATCATCCAAAAAAGAGTTGATGTGCCCTCTGTGGGTATACATTGCTCTTCTTGTGCTCAATAAACAGTTTTGGAATGAATAAATCTGGAAACTTTTCACATACTATAAGTGACAGAGTGTTTCTTTGCAATTTTCAAGTACTCTTAGACAAGTAATGACTTCATCTCTCCTTTCTTCACTCTCCATTGTGTGCTTTCTGTAGTGTGCCTCTCTCTGTTTAGTTAATGCTGCAGTATGAATCTCTGCCCCTGCTCTGTTTCTACAGCCTCTCCTGTTTATAGTGGCGATCAGTCTGATTACTTCTAGATGTGGACAGCATCTCCAAAATGCTGTGAGGTAGATTCTGTACAATAAAAGAACATGTTAATTTGCCGTAGCTGACATCAAATTGACATCGTTGTTCATTAGTACTCTGCTTTTAGTACTATGTACTAGTGCTATGCTTATGCCAATATTAAAGTGATCCTATGCTTATGCCAGTATTAAAATGACTCCTAGCTCACGACAGTTGGAGTCTCGCTCATGTGTTTTTTCACTTTTTGGTAACTTAGCTAACTAAATTCCTTTGAGCCTATTAATCAGGTTTTAAAAAAGCTTTTTAGGTAACATAAATTTATGAATTTGTTGTGATAAATCCATCATTAAAAAATTATCTACTCTATATCAAGCAGAGTATTAAACGTAAGACATATCTTTGCCTACTGCCTACTTGCAGTCTATTTTGAAAATTAAGACACATACACTCAGTAGCAAATGAATGAGATGGTGTTATATACCATAGTGCTAATTATTCATAGAATAAAGTACTTTTGTGGCCTTGAAAAGTAGAGACAAACATCCAGTTGGCATTTACTGAGTGCCTATCGTGCGCTAAGGCATGGATATAGAAAGTTAAGTTTAGTGCCTTATTATCAGTGACTTGAGAGTACACTGTAGTAAGTGACACTGGTGTCATAAGCAGTCTCTACAATGAAAGGCAGAGATACATTGAGATCAGAGTGAGTCAGCAGCCACTGGGAAGATATCAAGTAAAGTAATCCAGCTTTGAGTGCTCTACCCCTGATGATTATATAGATTCAGACCATTTAATCTAGACCATTTAATCCTCATAAGGATTATGGCTGAGATGTACGATTATTCCCAGTGTATCACTCAGTCTGTGTCTTTTTAGCTAAAGTCCTTTTTTGTTCTTTCCCTCTCTTATCACTCTATGGTGCTCTTTAGTGAGTTCAGTTTGTTTAAATACGTGATTCTTGGGTCTTGCCTCACCCCTCTGTACAGAAAGCCAGTGTGAGACATGCTTATATGAAAGCATCTGTTAAGTATTTCTTTATTCATCCTATTGCTTTTCTGTGTTTGTGTTGACTGATCTTGGGTGATGTGCTCTGGGAGGGTGTTGCTGAACCCACTGTTTCCAGATATCCTCACAGGTGCTTTTGGATGATGCTAATGATGACAGTGTAACCTACAGTAGTCCTTGATCTGCTATCAAAACTGGCCACAGTTTTCTATGCAGACTCCTGGTTTTCTTCCCTGTTTTTTCTTTTTTTGGATTGGGACTGTGTACAATCAGTTTTTATTCTGTGTGTTCTCTATGCTTCATTTCTTTGGAAAATCCCTTCGAGCTAATAGCTGGGATGATGAAAGCACTGGCAGCTCCCCTTGGCAGCCCCTTTCCCTTAGCTTTCGGCACTTTTCTTTGGCAGAACTCACTTAACTTTATAGAGGGAGGTTGGAGTTTACCTGGAAGAGAACAAAGTCATTTCTTTGGTGATCCAGAGGGATGACATGCCCCCAGGTGATTGATTCTGTACTCCAATTTTGAACTTGGTCATTTGACTTGAAGGATAAGGTAGTCTTGAGGGAAGGTAACCTTTATTTTGCCTTTGCCAACTTTGAAAAAAAAAAAGTGTTCTGTTTATTTGTATTCTGCCATTACTAGGAGCTGATTCATGTTTTGGTTGAGATTAGTGTGGGTTGAACTACACGATATAGCTATTTTTTGTAGTTAAAAAATGATCAAATATTGGCAGTATCATCTAGTTCAACCTAATATATCCAATCCACAGAATCTGAACTAGCTTATAGCTTGTTTCTGTTAATGGTGAGCTGTGAAAAAGAATTCCAGATTCCGTGCTAAGTGATTTTAATGGAAAGCCAGTGCTAAGACCTCTCTTTGTTTCTTCCTAGGTCACTCTGCACCTGAATCCCATCTCCTCAGTCTACATTCACCACAAGCCTGTCGTGTTCCTGCTCAACTCCCCACAGCCCCTGGTTTGGCATCTGAAGACAGAGAGACTTGCAACTGGCGTCTCCAGACTTTTCTTGGTAAGTGTTTGAAACCCTCCCAAAGTGATCCTTAGCATAAGGATATAATGACCCTAAAATTTTGCAAGGCTTTTTAAAAGGCTTATTTCATTGAAATAATACCAGAGTCCACAGTGTATTAAATTTGGATTTTGCTGTTAGTGATATTTGGATGGCATCGATAAGCATTCATAGAAAACAAATACCATTCACATGCCCTCTTCTGTGGATGGAGAGTCCGGTCTCTCTTGCACGATAGAGCAGGATCTGCAGTCCTACTTTGTGTGGCCTGAGCTTTGGTCTCAGCTCTGAGACCGCCTCCCCACGCTCCCTATAGTACCAGGAGCAATGTAAATATCGTAAGTAGCCATTAGGTGTGTGGTCTCTGACCGCAAAATAAATATGCACAAACCCATTTTATTTGTGTATAACACAGGCCTAATTTCTGATATGAGGATCTGTTTGTTGAGAAAGTAACACAGTGAGCTCCAAAATGAAAACATTTGTATTTTATAAAAAAGCTGGAACCCAGCTCTTGTGGAAGGATCCAAATATTACCTACTATTTGTAAATCATGTCCTTTTGAGTTTGCCAGAACATTCAAGTTTGCTAGTTGTGGAGAAATTGATGGGTTGTTTGGATAGAATATTTGGGGTATGATATCATGTCTGATGATGAGCAACACTGCACTTCACAGTGATAACTCACATTGTCTATTGCTAGAGCTATGTGCTGATGTCCTAAACTACAGGGCCTTGGACTCTTAAACCTCTCTTGCCTACAAGCAATCAAAACAAGAGGCCTCAGTTCAGTTAATAGTCTTCGTCTTGCACAATGAATACATTTTGCCTAATTAATGATTCTTAATTCAGTTCTGTAGTTTCTTGTCACTTGTATTTGAAGAGTACTTTTAACTCAAAGGTCCCCATTGAATAAGGTAAGAATCCATAGTCAATACAGTTAAAAAGTAGATAAATAAATGAGTAAAAAGGAGAGAAGGGAAAGCTCCTCTTTATAGAAGAATACCAATCAATTGATATAGAAGGAATGATGGAGTTAGAAAATCATCAATTGGTAACCATCACAGTAAAAGTTGATTAGGCAAGAGTCATCAACAGATATTAGATCTAGTGGTGGTGGAGGGAGTTTGAGGAGCAGTATATTTACATGGTCTTGAATTAGTTATTATTCTAGCCAAAAATGCCTATAATCTGAGTCTAATCATAAGGAAACACTGGAGAAAACTAAATTGGGTGACATTCAGTAAAATAACTTGGCCCGTACTCTGCAGAAATGTTACTCATGAAAGACAAAGAAAGACTGGGGAGCCATTCCAGATTGAAGGAGGCTAAAAACACACATGTGATCCCTGGGTAGGGAGTGGCACCCTTGCTATAAAGCACATTAGAGGGACAATAGGAGAAATTGGAATTGAGCCTATAGATTAAAGTATTGTATCAATGTTACATTTCTTAGATTTAATAATTGTACTTTTCTTATATAAGAGAATATCCTTCTTAGGAAACATAATGCACTTAAGCATTAAGGGTTAAAGGGCCAAATAATTCAGAAAAAAAATTAATGTGTAGATAGAATAATAAAGCAAATATGGTAAGGTGTTGAAAACTGGGGCATCTAGTTAAAGAGTGTACATGAGTCTTTGTACTCTATTTGCAACTTTGTAAATGTGAATTATTTTCAAAATAAAACTTTTTTAAACTCAAAGGTACATTTACAAGATAAGAGTTACTAATAAATTATAGCTTTTTCTGAGAATTGAAACTCTCATTACTTCTAAATTTAAAAGTCCAAAAGTCAGAATTAGTTGTTATTACTATTATCAGCACATTTATTTAGCACTTAGTACATTCCAGGTATTGCATAAGTGCTCTAATACTTTATCTTATTTAATTCTCATAATAACCCTGTGATGATTTACTCCATTTTACAGATGCCTTCACAAACGAGGAACTAAGATTTAGAGAGGTTAAGTAGTGACCCAAATCACTTGGCTAATTACTGGCAGAGTTGAGACTCAAACCCATATAGGACCTAACTCTACAAGCTCTTATGCTAAACTGGCTGCCTTCATACTTATGAGCATTGTCAATCTCCTGTAATTAAAGGCATTTGTGATAGTAAGACTAAGGGCCGTGATTATAAAGTCATATGCTCATTTAGCCCTTATCGTGCAGAGCTGCACCGTCCAATACTGTAGGTACTAGCTGTGTGTAGCTATTTAAATTTAAATTAACTAAAATCAGAGGACTTCCCTGGTGGTCCAGTGGGTAAGACTCCACACTCCCAATACAGGGGGCCCGGGTTACATTCCTGGTCGGGGTACTAGATCCCACATGCATGCCACAACTAAGAGTCCCCATGCCGCAACTAAAGATCCTGCATGCCGCCACTAAACACGCTGCAACGAAGATCCTGTGTGCCACAACTAAGACCCAGCACAGCCTAAATAAATAAATATTAAAAATTTTTTTTAATTAACTAAAATCAGAAATACAATTCCTTAAGCACACTAGCCATTTCAGGAGCTCGATAGCTATGAGAGGATAGTGGCTACCACATTGGGCAAGTTGTAGAGAGGTTATGAGCAAAGGCTTTGCCTACCCTGGTTTGAATCCAGGCAGAACCTGGGAAAAGTATTTAATTTCTCTAAGCCCGACTTTCCTCAGTTGTAATATGGGAATGATAATAGTCCCTACATCATGAGGTTGTTTTCTTGATTAAGTGAGATTACATGTAAAACGTTTAGTATGGGACCTGGCACTGATAATTTCATAAACATTACCTACCGTTTTTGTTGCTATTTATTATTAGTCATAGTAAAGAACACTTGGGAAGGACGTTGAATTTACATTTCTAATTATGAAATGTCTAGCTTGGCTGGCCCCAGATTGAAAGGAGTTCCCCTTTCTCTGGGCTGTAGGTCCAGATGAAAAGTGTGGACCTCATATATCATAGTTGTACTGATCACTTTCTAGATTCTTTCTTCAAACTGCCTCTCTGTGACTTTTAAGGGAAAGTATCTTACTCCTAGTTATTATTTATTTGCTTTAATTTTGTTTAGTATCTGTAAGAACTGCTTCTTGGCCAGCAGCTTAAGATGCACTAGCAATGAACCACAGGAGACGGTGTTAGTAAACAATTGAACATCGACCCTATTTGGAGTTTATCCCACGTAAGGAGATTGTAGATCAAGTGATAAATCTCAAATTACCAACACAAGGGAGGCAGCACTGGGAGAAGTCAAGGATTTAAATTGTGGGACACATGAACTCTGCCTTGCTGTCCAGCAGGCCTTCTTTAGGGAACATGGTTTTCTCTATCTGCGCATTTCCTCATGGCCTGGAAGAGATAGTGGAGCATCTGTTGTTCATTCAGTTTCTCAGATAGTTAGACGACGAGTGATACAAGTTCTCTCACAAGCTGGGCAGCTCTCCCTAACAGAGACTGTGCTGAAAGAAAGGAGGCAAGGCAAGCTCTTCCCTTGCTCTCTGTAACCTGAAATGAATGACTTGACAGCCATTGCAGCAGAGGGATCTGGATAGAAAATCAGTGGTGTGTTTCATTTATCCATTTATTGTAGTTAAGAGTTGAAGGTTAGGGATAAGATAACTAAATTATTTTACATAAAGTGTTTCATCCAAACACTTCGGAAGGCCCATGGAATCTTTGGAGACTGAGGCTTAGCCATTTCCATCGGTGTCTTTTCCAAGGTTACCTGGAGAGCTTAAGGGAGCTGAGGAGAGAGGGTGGGTCGCTTGACTCTCAGTCGAAGATGTGTATGTCCTTGTTTCCTCCTTTATATATTGCTGAAGGATTTACATTACTGTCGTCAAGCTGTCTTTACTTTCTGTGTAGAGTTACAATACTTTAACAGTTATTTAAAAAATTAAAAAAAAAATTTTGGCTGTGCCGTGCAGCTTGTGGGATCTTAGTTCCCCAGCCAGGGATTGAACCCGCACCCTCAGCAGTGAAAGCACGGAGTCTTAACCACTGGACCGCCAGGGAATTCCCAACAGTTATTATAATTATTTTTAAGTAGGGTTGTGAGAAAAGTTCAAGTAATGGCATCTACTCATCTATCATGGTGAACCTTTTAAGTTGTCATGTCTGCATTATTATAACTGCCCAATTTAAAAAAGGAAACCTTTCATAATTAGTTAGCAGGACCCTGTGTTACTCCAAATGTCTCAGCCACCCACGAGGGTGACTGAAAACGTATTTTAATACCATCTAAAAAAGGTATCTGTTTTCTACTGTCAAATCTTTTTAGTCCTTCTCTTGATTCCGCAGTGCAGGCAAGAGGGAGTGTGTCATGTAGGGAGAAAGTGGGACTGAGTTTCCTCTGCAAGTGCAGTTCCTTTATCTGGTTGTTCTGGTTACCCAGGAAATGGGAATGGATGAGAGTGGTTATCTCAGACTGAGTGTGAAGCAGTAGATCTTTGAGTATGTCACACACATACACATACACACGCGCGTGCACGTGCAGTGGAGTTCTCACAGCCTCATAGGTTTTCTTTTGCAGGGTGTAGGGATAGCCCAGAGAAAATTGGGTGGGTTAGAGTTATGCTTCAGAGCAATCAGAAATAAAAATAATCCTACTCTCTCAGTCTGTCATGTTGAAACTACAAGTAAAACTCTCTTAGAAGGATCATCTAAGCTTATTTTTATTTATGCAATTATTTCTGCATCACAGAAGAAGTATGGTAGCTCAACTGTGTAATAGATGTCTGAACTTTTAACTTGAGGTTGCTAAAAAAAGATTGGGAAGAGCCACAGTACCAGATTGTCTTTAAAAACATGCTCCAATTTGAATGGACGTTTCTCCAAAGAAATAACACAAATGGCCAATAAACACATGAAAAGATGCTCAAAATCATTAGTCATTAGGAAAATGCAAATTTAAAACCACAGTGAGAATCCACTTCACACCCACTAGATGGCTATAATAAAAAAGGCAGATAAGAACAAGTGGTATCGGGGTTATAGGGGAATTGGAACTC